TTGGTACATATAAAAAGGCGCATAGGAAGAGAGGTTTGATAGTTTCCATCAGATGCGTTTGTGTCTAATTTTGTGATCACTCTTTTACCATTAATATCAATGATAAACGGATCAATGTGCATGTGTAAAACCTTTGTATTAAATATTTTTAAAATGCCGTGCGTTTCATATTATTGTGTCATATCCTTCACAATTAAGTTATTTGTGGAAAAATCCTATTCATTGGTGACATTGCTATCGCAACTGGTTGTCACCATCGTCAGCTAAATGTCCCAGCCTCTACTTCTGTCGTAAATTACCGTGGACATATCAGGAGTAACACTTTTGCCGACATTATCATATTCAAGTTTTAAAACAACAATTAATAACGGAGTTTTTAAAGTCAGCTGTGGTATATGAGAATGTGTTTTTGTTACTGCCAACCGTTAGGCAATAGCGAGAAGTACATTGTAGTTCTGTTGTCGCCATGATACAGTTTGCAATACACATGGAGACATGAACATATCCAAATGCAGCAAAAGCAGTAATAACTAGAGCTTAGCATTTACACTGTAAATCAGACAGTTTTGCTCTTTTATTTATTAATATTCTCCGTAGAAGACAACGCTTAGCCTCATCAGCTCCAACAACGGCCAAAATGCAAACTTCACCCTCGGTCACTTCATTATAGGCAGAAGTGTACCGTTTACCTTATAGAATCTTCTTGACTCCATTTGATTGTGTTTTTAAATTTTTAAATTAGTACATCGTTTTTGAGTCATGTCGCGAACATCATTGCGACTTTAAGCCCTTCTTGCGAATTGAACCACAGATGTTTCACGACCTCCTACAACGTGTAGGCCCATCCATCGAGAAAAGTCCAGAGCAAGTGCTTTTTTTGTGAATGCCCTCTACTTCTTGACACATTTCAATGAAACCATAATGACTTATAATAACAGCAAATTTAGATATAACAGTCCAGTCTGTATGTTACACTTCTGTTTTATTCTATGCAGTGCCAGATAGCCCTTGCCAGCAGGCCTAAAACTCGCCATTACCCTACGTTTCCTGGCGACCGAGAACAGCTACCGATCCTTGGAGTTTGCCTTCAGGGTATACCGGTACCCGTAGCCCACATGCAACACAATGTCATGGTTCATTCCTAAAGTACATGTATACTGGGCTATCGTCTCGGATGTTTTCCATGCCCATCGGCATTCTGACACACAAGTATACGTTGTAACACACACAAGTACACGGTGTAACACACACGTAGTGAACTGTGCGACGTAGTCCGAACAAGGAGTTTACATATGCCCCATATAACCCCATTTTCCTTACCACCTTATGCACTGATCAGCACAAGTGACGTCATAATCTTAGGCAGGTGCCTGTTCGGCCGCCCGACGGGTTCCGGGCAGTGAGGTTACGGCGTCCCTTCGGCGTACCTTGCCGAACGGGGCCCGATTGATAAAATCTTCATCGTCATATCGATAAAGTGACGTTACGTTACTGCGTTACTGCATTTTCTTCATAATTTGTCTATATCTCAAAAATTGGACCTGCTAACACTGCACGTACAAAATTTGCTAAAGATAGTCGGTGATTTTATGATAGTGAAGACTGCAGACCGTCAGATAGGTAGTTTGGAGAAGTCTTTTTTTTTTATAGAATTCCAGATTCAACGTTAACGAATAATTGACATGCTTGTATGTGAAGTTCACAGACATCATATTCTGCACAAATCCGGCAGACGTTCACCTGCCTTAAGCCCTGGTCACAACCCGCCGTACGTGCTTTTTTCCCTTATTTTTTTGGGAGGCTACGTCTGCTACGTTTTTTCTGTAAACGTGGGGAAGGAGTGGCATCGACGCACGTCACTCGCATGGTTGTGCAAGGTGTACGAGTGTGGTCTGCACGCCACGTCTGGCCGTGAGCGGTTGCGTGCAACGTACGTTGCGCAAGTGGTAAGTGAGTTGTACGTGCTTACAACGTACGATCTCTGTGCGATTGCAACTTTACCGTAAGGAGGCCGCACTCACACGTGCTTCTTCCGTAAGGAACGTACGGGGCACGCGCGTCGCTCGTACTCGCACGCACGGGTGGTGAATCCGCAGACCGCACGCAGAAGTTTTACATGCACTCAAAGTTCTACGGCGTGTCTGCGTGCTCCCAAATCCGTAGGATTCTGTACGGAGGCGGTACTCACCACGCACGAATGTCCTACGTTTGCCACGTTTTTGCACGTAGACAGCACGCAGAAGCTACGGCGGGTTGTGACCAGGCCTTTAGTGCTTGCTGTTAGGCACATTCTGCTGAGTTTTTATTGCAAAACCATCGAACTTTTAGATTTTCAGCAATAAAAGGAAAGTCTTTAACCTGACATTCAGATCTATTCAGACCTTTGGTAAACAGTTTCCCGAAGACGTCATCTATGACTCGCAGAATCCCCCTTCCCGGCCAGACGCCCCCGCGCGGTACAAAAGGTGAGGTCACACCTTGGGGCTTCCTCTTTCGCAGGTGCGAGTGGGGAACTGACCGTTAGTCTTCCTTCCAGCCTGCACACCTTGGGACTTCCCCTTTCACAGGTGAGTGGTGAAGTGGGACCGTTAGTCTTACCTCCAGTCTGAAGGTAAAACTGATGTTTTCCCGGACATACGCACTGTTCTCTTCTCTTAGCGGTGACGAGGATAACACGGTATTGACAAAACAGGTAAGTACGGCTGTCCATATGTTCAAACCCTATTAGCAAGACCTTAATTAACTTTACTATTGAAAAAAGTTAACCAAATAGCGGTTTTGCACGGTCTTAACTTCACGTGACATTTCTAGTAATTTAAGGCCAGTTTATGGGGGCAAATAACTGATGAAACTGTACATTTCTTGAAAAAAAAAAGAAATGGTATAGTTGATCGTTGAGGAGTTGTAGGTGGGGTACAAAACGAGCAGGTTTTCCGTCCTAGTTTTGTTGACAGAGTTAAAAAAAAACGGTACGGACTTGCAGATTTTATGTCCTGATGGTACGCGTCATTTGAAAAGGACAAAGTTAGAAGAAAGTATTGCACAGTCTCTGGTCTAAAACAATTACAAAAGTTCGCATGCCAGGGGAATTCCGTGACGGATCGGAAAGTCCTCAAGTATTTGCTTTTTCAGGGACCATTCAATAATAACAGGTTCATACGTTTTTGTTAAATATATAGTGAATGTAAACGTTATTCCGTCAGAATTCTTTCCAACCAATCTCTAATTTGGTATCGTGGCATCTGTACCATAGTGTTCAATAGTTAAGTTTGTTGTTGTTTGAAAATCCTGTCCTGGTCAGGGAGAGACAACCTTTGCTACGATACTTTAAGACAGACATTACCACTTACAGGCGGAGGTCAAAGGTAAACATGACGTTTGATATTCCCCGCCTGACTGGGCCGACTTTGGACTATGGTCACCTGTATGGTCATCCTTCCATCCATAATGCCTCGGTCACAACCCGCCGTGCGTGGACCTGCGTGCTGTCTACGTGCAAAAACGTGGGCAAACGTAGAGCATCCGTGCGTGTTGAGTACCGCCACCGTACGGAATCCTACGGATTTGGGAGCACGCAGACACGCCGTAGAACTTTAAGTGCATCTTTTTCTGCATGCGGTCTGCGGATTCACCACACGTACGTACTAGAACGAGCGACGCGCGTGCCGTGCGTCGACGCCACTCCTTCCCCACGTTTTCAGAAAAACGTAGCAGACGTGGAATCCCAATTAAACGTACGGACAAAAAGCACGCACGGCGGGTTGTGACCGAGGCTTAAGACTGAACACCGCAGATAAGACCTGTACAGTTTATATTCCAAGGACGATTGTTAAAATCTTCATCGTCATATCGATAAAGTGACGTTACGTTACTGCATTACTAATTTTCTTCATAATTTGTCTATATCTCAAAATTGGACCTGCTAACACTGCACGTACAAAATTTGCTAAAGATAGTCGGTGATTTTATGATAGTGAAGACTGCAGACCGTCAGATAGGTAGTTTGGAGAAATTTATTTTATAGAATTAGCTATTCCAGATTCAACGTTAACGAATAATGGGCATGCTTGTATGTGAAGTTCACAGACATCATCTTCTGCACAATTGCGGTAGACGTTCACCTGCCCATGCTGGTCACAACCCGCCGTACGTGCTTTTTGTCCGTACGTTTTTTGGGAGGCTACGTCTGCTACGTATTTTCTGTAAACGTGAGGAAGGAGTGGCATCGACGCACGTCACTCGCACGTCACTCGCACGTCACTAGCACGGTTGCGCAAGGTGTAAGGGCCCTGTCACACTTTTGCGAATAGCCATTGCGTTTGAGTTGCGTAAAGGCATTTCTGCCGTAGGCACAATACGTAACGATACTGTAACTCACTTGTAGCGTATAAATAACGACCTCAGCGAACAGATTGGATTTGACATCCGTATGGCGATCACATGCATTGCGAAGGCCAAACGTATTCAGAACGCACTCAACGTATGCCCACCTAAGGCCTAACGATTTATTTTTGGACTAATTTTTGAAATAATTTTTTTCCTGGTGAAATTTTGCTCAGACAGGCCCAGTTTTGTGGTAAGTAGGACAGAAGAATGTGTATTTTTCAAATCTGCCCAAAAATTTTGACCTTTGGCAAGACTTGACCTTCTATCGACCCCGAGATGGGTCCTGGGTGAATGGACTGTTCCACTTGGACAGGGGGTGAAATCCAGGTATCATTTCAGTATTTGGGCTGTAACTCAAAAACAGGCAGGAGTCGAACTTCCACTATTTGTACCAAAAGAAACCTGACAAATTCAGCCTTGCAGTGGGGGTAAAGACTTGAGGTTTGGAATAAAAGTAAATGTGTTTTTAAGTGCTTGTTTCTAGTGGTTTCACCATAGAATTCCAATGGAAGCTTCATTCAGTGGTCCCTCCCCACCATCACACTCCCTCGTTCAGTCACGTGACCTGGGTGACCCTTGACACCCAGGTCACGTGACCCCTCTTATGAGCTGATAAAAGATGGGGGATGCCAGCTGAAAGTTTCTCAGATTGAACATTCGTCGTGCGTACTAGTTTAACTCTTTCATTTAACAAAATTTAGAGGTTTGTCATGGGCTTGTTCGAAGGATCCTGGGAACGAGACGCGGAAGTGTTGCCTTTGACCTAGCCTCTCGTGTGAACCTCGTGCAAGTAACTACTCGTGATTAAAATACGCACCATGTCCCGTTTATTGTGGGTCAGTCTTGTGGCAGTGTTGGCCGCTGTGGGGTTTGGTGTCTACTCTAACTACGATGGCTTCGATCCAGGTAAAATTCAACATACTATAGTCTTCTACTTTATAACGTTATATAAAGTCTTGCTACACAATCCTACCGCCCCCCTCCCCTGTATTGAATCAGATACGTGTTGGTAGTCACATAACGTGAATACGTCCATGGCAATGGGGGTGATTTTGATATCGATGAAGGAACACTGGCCACTAGTTCTGAACGACCTGCCAGACGTCTATAAGCGTTATTTAAAGCTATCTGGTGACTATGTCCCTACAGTACTTCTTGTCAGCGAGTTCCCCTCTACCATAGTTCATTCTCTGACAATACCTACCGAGCTCCAAGTTGGACTTTGGTTACTGGGTGAAAGTTTAATATGTTACTCAAAGGAACATGGTAGCTTGCTGGGCGTACACAATAGTTTCATCAGAATAAGAAATGCATCTTAGTGAGAAGTGATATTCTATGCAGATTCATTCGGGGGCAGGGGACGATCAACATGTTTGGCCACCTGAGTTACAGTCGGTCAATGGTTAAAGTCGGTCAATGGTTAAAGTCGGTCAATGGTTAAAGTCGGGCAATGGTTAAAGTCGGTCAATGGTTAAAGTCGGTCAATGGTTAAAGTCGGTCAATGGTTAAAGTCGATCAATGGTTAAAGTCGGTCAATGGTTAAAGTCGATCAATGGTTAAAGTCGGTCAATGGTTAAAGTCGGTCAATGGTTAAAGTCGATCAATGGTTAAAGTCGGTCAATGGTCAACGGTTTACAGGCGGCCAATTGTTACAGTCGACCAATGGTTAAAGTCGACCAACGGTTAAAGCCGACCAATTTTTAAAGACGGCCAATTGTTACAGGCAGCTAATATAGATTCCCTCTGTCCCCGATAATCTGCTTGGAGATTAAAGTAAGACAAAACGATTCCAGAGACAATACGAGGTGCAGCAGTCGTCATCACGGGCTGCAGTACCGGCATCGGCGAAGAGATGGCGTACCAGTACGCCCGGCTGGGAGCAAAGATCCTCATCACGGCCAGGAGGGAGAACAGGCTGAAGGAGGTGGGGCATTGGGAATTTGTTTAAGAGAAAATTAATCAAAATGGTTGATTAATCAAACAAGAAAATAACAGTACAGAGGATGAATTTTATCTTTTTGCACAAAGAACCATAATTACAACACATTACTTAAGACTTGAATTAAGACTTAGATTAAGACTTTTTTAAAATCAGAGTAGCCTGGAAGATAACATTAAAAATAAAGGGTACACCAATAATTCAAATCATCATATCCAAAAATACGCACAGAATCTCTACAAGACAACTGTAAGTTTGAACAAATATTTCCATTTCAGATGGAAATCAATTAGAAAAAAAATTAAGACACACTTACAGCAAACTCAATTTGTACGGAAATTGTACATTATGGCAAATATGAATATCAGTCAACAATCAAATCTATGAATAAGAATATGACAATCAAATCTACGAATAACAAAATCAATAGATACATAAGATACGCAGTTTTTACGTATCTTATGTATCTATTGAAAACACGAGTC